CCCCGGACCCCCCCCTTACATAGGGTTGAGCGCCTCTCGGTCCCCATAACCGTTTCACGCTATATCGTGACCAGAGACACACACACTCTCTCTCTGTTGCGAATGGTCAGGCCGTGTCCTGGTCCGCAGCCGCGGCAGCGTTGTTCTGGCGATCGACCCCTCCTCTTGTTCGATTAACGTCCCGAGACAGGCTCTACCTAATTCGTGCGACGTCTGCAGAAAAACGCGCGCATGTCACGGAGAGATTGTCAAGTATGACGTCCCCAAGTTCTCTCCGCCTGTCGGGCTCCAGGGCGGGTGAGCACACACACAGGGAAGGCCATCTCGTCGACGGGCGTGTGCGACTTCTTGCTCCTCACTATCGATCGTCCCTACGGTGGGAACTCTGTGTTCATCCCGGACGTTTATCTCAGAGCCCACGTCTGGCGAAAAAAAGCTTCTTGCGCTTCTGCAACATCCTCCGATGAACGGTCGGAGCTCCTCAACACGTCGCTTCCGCCTTCGATATTCTTCATACGCAACTTCCGTTGATCCTGGCCGAGCGGATAATTCTGAAGCAGGCATTCCGCTTCCCTGCGCGACTGTTTTCGGGTGGATGGATCGGCGTCGCGCATTGAGGGCGGGTGCTTCGGCATCGCTCTACCTCAGCTTCGACATGAGCATGCTCATTAAGAACGAACAGCGACATCGATCGTGGTTGACACCACTGCCTTTTCTCTATGTTCATGCCGGGATCGGATGTATGTATGTGTGTATTGACTTGTCAGCGACAAGGTTTTCCCCGATTATAAAACCACCGCTGCGGGTGCTGATGGGGCGCTATCCGGCCATATCCCCTGCCTCCTGTACATTGTATGTGGGGCGTGGAGACCTTCCATGGCTTTCTGGTATAATTGCTGGATTTCATCGGAATTGATCCGTTCCGTGCCCAACCTATGGCCAAAAAGTCTCCTCTGCATTGATGTCTCGCCATACGCTTTTGTTGTTCCGCTCATTTCCGTATCATGTTTGCACCTCCTGTCTCAAGAAGCTGAGAAAGTGACCAGTACGGCAGTAGTCGTCGGAGCTGCAAGGGCAAATGAGATTTTAGCAGAACTTTTGTACGTGGAGGATCTCCTCCACAAGGCTACAACGTTGTCCCGCGGTTGCATATGTCAGCACTGATACTCCGAATCCCTACTGACCCAGGCGTCATGAACTCAGGAGTACATAGTTCGGAATTGCGCCCCCTCCGGCAACACGGCAAATGTTTGGGAGACGAAGCCAGGCTCCCCGCTAGCAGAGCCCGAGTTTCACGGCGCCCAACATAGCAGCCAGTAACCGGTCATCCCGTCTTTGACGATCCTCGTACCTCATCCGTCACGGCGACCATAGCATAAGACGGGTGACGAAAAAGACCGGTAACAGGGCCAATAGGGGGGCCCGAGCCGGTTTAGTTGCCGGCCACGCGGCGACTCGAGAAACGGATTACCATCTTTGGGCATGGGGCTCTCGCGGGTTAGCCCACCACCACCCGCGGTTGCTTGTTGTGTCTTATTCCCCGTCATCTGCGGATCTGCTAACGCCGGTCGGCTTTCAAAGGCACCGTGCTTGTTTCCCGTTCAGTCACAATGGTCTCGGGAGCAACTGCTAAACTCAGGCGTTCCTGTGCTTCTTCCGCTTAGCGCATTGCTTCAGGGGAAGTTCTAGCTGGGGGTGGGGGTTCCGGCCGGACAACACGAGGCTGGCCGACATGGGAGGGGGCGATTGTGTTCTAAATCATGCGATGGTTCGGATCGATCGTTCCGACTGTCACTATGGAGCGCTCACTGGTGCGACCTCCCTTAATCTGGCTCGTCCAGCACACATCCTCTGCCTGACTCGGTCACTGGGCAACAAGGACTGGCCAATTCTGAGCGGGGAACGACAACGTACTCGCCTGATATCGGTTTCATCATCGCTTCGGCGAACTATAGCCCGGGGATATTGCCATCGCCGCATTGCACCTTGCACTGGCAATCCAACTGGCTCGGGGATCAGAAGTTCATTGTTCTCATGCGTGCGGGCCCCTCATCCGTGATGCACTGGGGTGCACTGGCTTCGTATACTTAGCACACCGGATTTGCACACCCGCTCCGGCGACAAAGGGTCGTCCCTCCCCGTGCAGACTCCCACCCGTGCGGCATCTTGGTGGCAATGCTAGCATCGCGATGCTGTCTTTTGCGTCAGGGATCTGCCTCGGCTCTCAAGCGTCCCATACACGTGTATGCTGCAGTCGGCTTCAAGGAGCTTCCGACCCCATATCGACGGGTGCATGCCCGCAGTGGCAAGCCCAGATCCAGCGAGGAGACTCCCAGACGTGCCACATACCAAGCTTCAAGCTCTGGTCTCACCGACGATATGCGTCTTGGACGCCTCGTACCATCTCCGTCATCGCCGGAGTCACAGGAAACCATTTAGGTCGGCTCACAGTGACAACACGCCGCATGCTGCTGTCACTTGGCATTGCTCCGGTATACTTTCGCGAGTGACCTGAGAACTTGCCTTTCTCGTGCACGACGATCTCCCCCGGAGCAGAATGGATTGCCGACACCTCGTTCCGGTTGGCCCGACTCGGACAGTGTACCTCTGTGGCACTGCCCTCTACACCTCAACCGACACTGGTGTTTATCTGATAACCGTTTCCGTGAACGCGTGGTGGAAGACCCTGAGGTGGATCATCATCGCACGATTTGTCGGCTACTGTGTATTTCCAGCGTTTCCTCAAGCCGCTTCAAGCCGCAGTGCGGATGACGTACGTATTAGCCCGGGAAGCAGAGCCTGCTCTATTCAGTTGAATCCAATGCAGGACAGTCGTTCTGAAAAAGGCATCTTCGATACCGCCATCTCGCTAATCAGGGTTGTTTCTGCATGCGACAAAACTGTCTCGGATTTGTGCGATCTATGGATGGATTCTGTGAATGGATACCATGAATGGGACCGTCGCATGCTTGGGAGACTTGGCACGCGGATCTCCTTCTGGATGGTCTAGAGCACGGCATCGATGTTAAACTTGCATGTCTCCGGCGGAGCTCTCGGTTATTCCAGAGAGGATTAGATCAACTGTGACATCCTAGATCTGCGCAGTATGAGCGAATACGGCGAAGAAGACCCTTCAACGGTCTACAGCATACAGCTTGCGTGTATAGCAAGGTGCTGTTCTACTACCTCAGGACTTTGTGGACTTACGCCATCGGCCATATATACGTGAAATCCCGGCATCTTCACCAGCCCAACAAGGGTTGTACTAAGGCATAAGTCAATGTTCTCGATCCTCACAGCACTGGACGTCAGGTTTAGCCTCTGGACACCGGGACGCAAGTATTCTAGCTCGTGACCAAGCGAGAGCGACATGCGGTCGTCGGGCTGTCATCGCATACGCCATACAATCTGCTTTCTCGGAAAAGATGTATTCAGTGCAGTGATATATACAAACAGGACCCATCAACGATAGCGCAAAGTTCGTACACCATGACTGGCATGTTCGCATGTGGGTTTCCTTAGAATAGCTCGGAAACGGCCCGATGAGTGGTCGCGAAGTCGAAAATCGTACCCGGTGCGCGATCTTCGAACGGGTTCAAATTGCCCCGACCTGTTCCGTGAGGCGTGCTTACAGCACTAAGCATCCATCTCTGGACGGGGCATGAACTCTGTCCCGGTCTGTTTCGATTGCCCTTTGACCACGTCAGCGACGTGACAACCTCATGTAGAATACACAAGCGATGGAAGCATCCGGCCCGTTCTCCTCGAGGGTTGACGACCATAATACACCCTTTGAATCTCGATGCTTTAGGCCGCCGGCTGTCCGGCACTGATATCTGGGTACACATCGAACCGGCGTTGCGTCGTGACGGGGATACCCTTGCGTGTTTCATGCAATACTTGCGGATCTATCACATGGCGGTAAGCGACACGGTGGCTCTCGGGTACGAAGAAGATGGCCGAGCATTCAGACAACCGGGTGCTTTTGCCGCAAGTGTTCACGGCATACATACCAATTTGTGCGGTTATGATGGCCTCTTCGTGGTCTGCCTCCGCCAGCACCTTCCCCCTACATGACAGACTTGAGCATTGATTCAGATTTAGTCAAGGAAGTTCGATACGTACATCGGATCGACCACCATCGAATGACCCCACTGCAAGGTACCCCAAGTTCAGCTCTGAGAAGCGGCACAGAGGACGCAACATACAGCGTGGTACCCAGCCGTCAGGTCCCTAGCTGGGCTGCACATGGACACGAAAATCTGATTGTCGACCGCGCTGCGCCACAGATCTTGTCAGCGATCACGGTCGATTACGTGAACAAGCGGCTGCCCGAGGAGATACCCCGGGTGCTCCCAAGGCGCATACGGCAGCATTTTGCGTAGAGGGCAGTAACGCACCGTGCGCGCTGCAGTAATTCCCAGTGGAGAGGCCCCGTGGTCAAATTGAACGCGCCAGGGTAAATGATTACTTGACATCCTGGAACAAATACTCTGTGTCAGTGGTCACAGAGGACGGCAGGCTGAGATGGAGGGCACATCGAAACGGCCGACCGAACCGCAGCTGAACAATCGCGTCCAAACGCCATGCCAAAGAGCAAGGGAACACATACCCTGCCTCGCGGCAATCATTGCGAGTTCTGGAAAGCGCACATCGTAACAAATGCCGAGACCGATCCGAGCGAAATCTAGAAAGAAAATAGGTGTTAGCGGCTGTAAAAGATAATGAGAACAAGATCCCTCACCGGTGTCAAAATAGTTCGTCGATGTGCCGGGGCTTAAAGTTTCACTCTCCTACACAAGATCATAGAGACATCGGACCGGAAGGCCTGCGGCGCATAATCTGGTAACTAACCTTGAAGGTGATCTTGCCGGGGATGTCGATGTCGAACAAATGGACCTTCCGGTGTAGTGCAACGAGTTCGCCCTCGGGGGAATACACCGTGCAGGTGTTGAAGAACTTTCCCTCAAAATTTTCGGGAATAGATCCCCCTACGATCCAAGCGCCTGTTTCTTTCGCTGCCTGAGATAACATGCGAACCGACTCGGAGGGAGAGGAGGCCGCATCATACGCAGCCTTAGGTGAATAGTCGATAGCCTCAGCGTACACGGGGAAGTGCACATGCCCATACGGCGAGTTGAAGCATTCCTGTGATGGTGGAGATCAGTTGACCTGTGGAGCCGCTTCCACGTCGGACGGACAGGCAACACGATGAGGTCTGGTTTTTCCTTCGCATTGGCTGCCTTCAGGAGCATGTCCCTAGCATGGCTGAGATTCTTTGCTTTGTCTGGGCCGATCTGACCCAGCTGGACGAGCGAGAGGCGAAATGACTTGAATGCGGGCGCAGCCGACATGAGTGCGCGGAACATGGACATGCAATAAGCAGTCCTGTCATGCTTCTCGTCGTCGTCAACCCCGCCTGCGGCGACAAGGGCGCGCCAACCTTCGTTCACGACCATGTTATTCCATTGCTCACCGAGCGCAACGCGTCCTTCGTCCTCGTCCAAACGGAGTCACCCGGGCACTCAGGTCATCTTGCCCGTCAATTCCTGGCCGATACAACGATCTCATCCCCCAAAGCGATACTCATAGCATCTGGTGATGGTACCGTGCACGAGATCGTCAACGAGATGCTCTTGGGTGATCCCGTCTCGGCGCGGGTGCCATTGGTACTCGTCCCCTGCGGTACGGCCAACGCACTGTATTCGTCTTGCTTCCCCCAATCATCATCGGATCCGATCGGAGGCAAACTAAGGGCTTTGCGTTCATACCTCGACAACGGATCGAAACGACGCCTCAATCTCACCCGCACAGATGTGTACCCCACGCAGGCCGCATCCGATCCGGAGCACACGATCTATTCGATGGTGGTTACTTCCACATCCCTCCACGCCTCGATTCTCCACGATTCCGAAGCCTTGCGAGGATCTGTCCCCGGTCTAGAACGCTTCAAACTAGCTGCTCAACAGAACATTAGCCGTCTCTATCACGCCACCGTACACCTCCTCCCGTACATGACCCATCAGAGCGCGGAGGAATCTGGGGATGTTATTCAACTCTATGACCCCGCAAAGTCCGCCTTTGCTCCCTTGTCGCCATCCACCGTAGAAGGTCCCTTCGCATACTTCCTATCCACGGCAAACGCAGATCGTCTCGAGCCCGCATTCAGGATCACCCCTCTCGTGACTGCCCATGCCCCCGCTCCCGGTACCGCGTCGATGGATATCGTCATACTACGCCCCCAACGTGCTCCTAACACTGCAATATCCGAAGCATTTACGACCGAACTCAATATGCGCGTGCTCACGCAGGCATACCAAGATGGGGCTCATGTAAACCTAGTCTTCGATAAAGCAAGCGGAACAACCAATGCATACGGCGAACATCCTGCCTCTGTAAACGGTGAAGTGTCAGTTACGCCTGTTGTAGAGTATGTCCGCTGCGGAGGATGGGAATGGATACCCGTAGGCATTCAATTGCATCATTGTAGTGCATCCATTAGCTGATATGCGAACGTGCACAGGATACCGACGACGATCGTGCTAGACTCATCTGTGCGGACGGCACAATAATGACCGTTCCTCCGGGGGGCAAAGCACGTTGTGAGGTACTGCAGAACAGCGATGTCGAATTCGAAGTATTTGTATAGCGGTCTTCTGCCTGGCCAGTGACGTCGAAGAACCATATCGCCACTGATTTGCACATTTACCTCGTAGAGCAAATCGTTGTATTTCTACAATTCATCACATGCCCTATAGCCCTGTCCAGCTGAGATCATCCTTGACTTCGACGGTTGTCTGGAGTTGCACGTCCTCAGAACTGGCGCCCACCAATATATCATATTCGCCCTTCAAAATTCTCCACAAACCTCCCTTGGGCCCTGCTCCCGGGTTCAAGGGTCCACCGGAGTGATACCGCTGGTCACCGATGAAGTCTGGTTGTTCATCCCAAAACGCGAACGCCCATTTGTCGAGGCGGACCTTGACGCGCTTGCTCTGCCCCAGGTCGATGCTACGGGCCTGCCAGAACAGACGAAGGGCGTAAGATGATGGATGAAAAACACAGAACCTGCCCTGCGACGAACCTTGGCAAAGCCTTTCAGCTGCTTCGTTGGCATGGGAGCGCTGACACCGATCTTGGGGTAGGATACATAAACTTGAACGACCTCCGACCCAATTTCGTCACCCGTGTTTGTAACTGTGGTCGCGACCTCGAATGCGAGCTTGTCCGAGTTGGCCACTTGAGTTACGTGGATATCGGAGAAACGGAAGGACGTATATGAAAGCCCAAATCTGCATGACACAGGAAATAAGATACGAGACGACCAAATATACGAGGACCGTTAGTCACCCGAAGGGAAACAGGGGCTTGATCAACTTCGTCTGGTAGTGTCTATAGCCAACGAAAACGTCTTCACGGTAGTAAATCCTTCCATGTTCGCTCCGCAGATTCGGGAACGCCGGAACGTCTTGTATGCGTGTCTGTGCATAGCGACCGTATCTTTAGTACGAGCGTGATGGCGCGTAAACTGATTGGCGCGCACAGGGAAAGTCAACGGCAGACGCCCAGAAGGATTGACAACCCCGAAGAGGACGTCGGCAATCGCATTGCCTGTTTCATTCCCACAATACCACGCTTGTAGGATTCCAGAGACGGCATCGACCCATGGCATAGACACGGCTGAACCCTGACCAATTTGTTTAACAATGGCTCGTTTAACAATGGCTCGGGCGACTAGCAGACGAGTGCTCACAGCTTGCAAGACGACCACCGTCCGAGGGTTTGCGGCCGCCAAACGTTCGATAAGCTCATTCTGGCGACCAGGCATGTCGAGCGTGGGCCGGTCAAACCCTTCGCTCTCCCATTCAGGCGTAAGACCCCCGATGAAGATGGTAACATCCGACGTGGCGGCAAGCTCAGCGGCCTGATCAATCGCTTGGTCCGCATCGATCTTCTCGCATCCTCCAAGACGCTGTCAAGCTAGTCCATGAGGATGAACAGAACATGGCAAGTTTTTGGATGCGCACCACGCCGATCATGAGCGCAGGCTGAGAGTCGTCTTGAGCGAAATCCGGCGGCGGGTAGTTGGAATATTCCACCAAAACATCAATCTGCTTTTCCGCGTGAAGGTCGATAGTAGCCTTCTCTTCGACGGTTCCTTGACTGTGATGTTTCATCTCAGCCATAGATAGATTGTTTAGAGCTGCTGAACTTGCCCGTAGAAGAATTCTCCCGGACCGCGCTGCTCCGTCCAATTATCGATGAGAAGCTCACCGTCCATCCACAGTTTGGCACGACCTGTAATTGATCAGTCGTAACGCTAACTTCATGCTGAAGTGTCGGGTACCTGAAACGGTCAGACCCATCTCCCACAGCGCGCTACGCGGAACCTGCATCCTTCCGCGAAGTTTGATGGTCCAGGTCTCCCCAAGCCCTTTAGGCAAGAAATCATTAAGTTTGACTCGCGTATCCTGCAGTACGAAATCCGCAACATGTTCAATGGGTTGGTGGTCCTCATCGTGACTGTAAAACGATGCCAGCCACCCCGGTTCACCAGAAGGGGTTGTAAGAAAGTTCTCAATAGTGGGTAAGAACTTGTGAGCTGCGGGTGGCTATCAGCATGCGCGCACCGTATGGGCTACAGAACATACCGTAACATCCTATGTGATACGACAGCTCGACTCCATCGGGTGCATTAACCTGTAGTCCCTCCCATGGAGTGACAACGTAGCTCGCCTTAAGGTGGTTAGATACGGACCGAGCTCGCAATCCACGGACCATACCTTCAGTGCCGCGGACCCACCGCCGGATATCACCCTCCCATGAACACCAGGTCCGATGACAGCGACCTTCTTCGCTTTACCAGACTTGATGGGTAAGAGGTTATTTCCGTTCTTCAAAAGGACCATGCCTTCGGCTGCGAGCGTTCGGCAGAACTTCCTCATCTCGGGCGTGTCTCGTGAACGCTCCTCGCCATCCCCGTAAACAACGTCCGGGTTGCGTCTGGCCAGTCTTTGAATAAATTGCAGCATATTGGCGACGCGCGCATTCACGGTCGAGTAGAGCAACTTCTGGGCGGAAAGGGTATGCTTCACGAGTAGATTCTGTCGCCAACGAGGTGGACCTGAGGATGCGATCGACTCATTCAAAGCCGTACCGCGTGGGAGTACCGAGACCTACCAGGCATTTCGAGGTCCATCGACGCATTCAATGCGTGATCGACACTGTACGTACCGTACCTGCGCAACATCGTCAACGACATGAGACCCGCCTCTTTGAATGTTGCGCTCACCAGTCACTGATCACGATTCCATCGAATCCCCATTCCTCTCTCAAGATACCCTTGAGGAGTCGCGGATTCTCCGAACAATGGACCCCGTCAATACGGCCGTAGCTGGGCGTTCGACGAGGTCAGACAAGTGACTCGTGGATATTAGTGCATATTCAGCCAGAAACTCCCAAATATGCATGTAGACAATGGTCAACCAAAGTAGATTACACACGCAGTCATGAATGCCCAAGGTTTCGCGTGGATCTGTGCAAGCATGAACCTGCCATAACGTGGGTGATCAATCGAATCCGGGCAACGGAGGGAGTAGGTGAAGACGCACGGGTACAGATAGATTTCTCTCAGAGCGCGCTGTGTTCGTCCAGAGGATTATCCCACATTGAATCGCGTTCGGGAGGAGCAGACCGAACTAACCTCGGAAACCACGGAGTCGGCGGCGGTACGCTCGTGCTCCTGGTCATTGGCAACAAAATGCTTGATGGTGGCTGCCACTCCATCAGACTGGAGGCCATTCACGTACGCAGCAGCCATCATTCCTAATGAGCGATCATAGAGAAGTTGTCATCTCCTCTGCCAACTACGCAGGTGACAAGGGTTCACCTGACAAGTATGGATCTTCGCTGAACGATTCGAACGCGCGTCCGCCCAACGGAGAACGCTGTATATTGCACGTCGGAGCCAACAATATGACTGACGATTTGATCTTCGCTTCGGCTGCGAGGAATGCACCAACATCGCGGATTAAATCTGCTCAAGGACGGGAGTAAGTCGGACAATATTCTGACTGAATGAGATGAACCTTGATCGAAGGTCGCGCCGAAGGAGGTTGCGCACTATCAAGATGTCAGCCTCGAGAAGCGCAGGACGAGCAAAATGTTACGAACAGGTAAGCATTGTGCGGGAGTAGACACGAAATGCGACGATCCTCGGACTCCCTATGAAGATATTGGTGAACCACCGCAATTGCATGTACGCTGCACAACAAACGTTCGGTCCATCGCTCATGCGCACGGAGGGAATCTCTAATCTCGGGATGGAACTGGTATTCCACCAGTTGGGAGCGCCAAGAAGTGCGATCTTCTCGTCCAATTTCAGCTTTTCTACGATGATCGGGATGGAGGCATCCAAGAACGACTTCGACATGGTCGACATGGTCGTTCGAGAGTAGAGTGCGTGCGTCCGACCGCAGTCACATCAAATGCTTGCACGCAAGAAACGCAATGCTTATGAGAGCGTAGGCTCACGGCATCAAGTCGGAGAAATAGCTTGGTGGGTGACCAGGCCCGGCAATGCGTGTGAAGTGCTGTTCGATGGCAAGGTTTCTCGGCAAAGTTGCAAATTCCGGCAGGAGGGATACTTGCGGATACCGAGCGGGTATCATTTTTGAGCACTGGATGAAGATGGAAGGCAGCTGCCCTGTACCACGCTAAGTAAAGCGTATGAAGCGCGGAAGAGCCGGGAACGCGCATGAACGCGCAGCACGTGATGCATCCCGACCTTGCGCGTTTGACGCGCCGGAATCTGCTTCATCTGCTTCATCATGGCTTTGCCACATAACATAGAAGCGGCAAGAGAAGACCCGAGGGTTCTGGTCGATAGCTTGTACGCCTGGAGAAACGTCAAGGAGTCCTACTTGGCAGCGGCCACTTCACGCCTAGGAGAACAGCTTGCCTCGAGCGGCCTCACGGAACAGCGTGATGTGTTACTGCAGCATGTGAATGAAGTGCGGAATAACCTTTCTATTAGACCTGTCTCATGATTGTTCTCAAGCTGTATTTCCGAGTTTGTAGGTCATGTGTTCATGCTAACTGAACCGAATGTCCGAGTGAACGGGAAGAACTTAGAGGACGTGGTCGAAGATGAAGAAGGTGAATACAATATATGACAACCGATCTTTGCTTCCAACTGACTCTCGTATTAGATACGGAGCCATTCGACGAAGCGCTCGATAGACATATATGGTCACTAGCGGATCAACGCATGAAATGGCAGTCAGAAATCGCGAACAAACGCCGCCTTATCCCTTCACAGGTTTCTCAGCTCATGAGCGATCTATCCGAGCGCCAGAGATCCGTATACGCGCAGGCGGGGTTTGCAGAAGAACCCCAGGATGCTGACAGTGAACCTGAGGTCCAGAATGAAGGTAGTTCATTGCTTTGCTATCGCTCGTAGTGCTTAGGTGATGGTTCGGGTTCAGGACTTCCTCTCGAAACCGAAGGAACTTTTCGAAGGACGGTCGTTCTTTCTGAAGAACTCAAGCAGGTATTTGGTCAGAATATGAACAAGCATGGACCATTGCTGAAAGAATATTGCGCATAGGAGGTCCTCTTGCAACATGAACGTACAGAGCGCGTCACAAGCGTCTCTCAACTGTTGCAGGATAGAGGGTGATTCTTTAGGTCCCCTGCGCTCGCAGTCACAACACGTCCACGCCTCTCCAGCGTGGCCGCCGTTCCCTTGGGATGGAGAAGAGACGCAATATAAGAGTAGTAAAACATCAAATACCTCATGAACCCCGGAAACCTCGTCCACCGCGCCCGCCGCCGAAGCCGCCACCGAAGCCACCGCCGAAGCCACCGCGACCCCCAGCCCCGCGCCCGCCTGCAAAACCTCTGCCTCCTCCTCTGCCCCGATCGAACCCACCTCGGCCTCGGCCTCCTCGTGGCGCGCCGCGTCCGCGTCCGCCAGGTGCACCGCGGCCACCGCGGCCGCCTGCTCCTCCCCGACCCCTTGTTTCTGGAGGGGAAATGCATGAGTCTTCCGTGACACAAGCAATGGATGGGGCAAGCGTAGTGCGTACTTGTAACACCGGCCACTTTTGGCTTGGGCAGAAATCGTTCGATGGGTAGCAGTTTGTCGTCGCCAATGTACACCTTGTCACCCTTTTTGAAGCTATTCGCAACCATGCCTTGCTCCATTTTGACGGAGAAAAAGACCTGTATATAAGATCGAGGCGTCAGTGAGACGAGGAGGATGTCCCGCTGGAAGAAGGAATATGACGCAGGTGAATCGTGGAAATCACCTCGTTAATCGGCCCGAGGATCTCGTCCACCTTTCCTATCTGGGATTTGTTTTGCAGGTAGATAGGCGCGTTGAAGTATGGTACTTTGTCCGGCATGGCGGAAGCGCACAACATCTCGTCTTCAACAGCATGTAGAAACGTGCCCATCTCTATTGTAGCAGAATGTTAACATGCTGATTCCAGAATGAAAGCGGGCACACACCGAGTACGGTATCGGGAGGACCCATGTCCCGTTGCTGGAACCCTCCGCGGAACCCTCCGCGACCTCCCCTTCCTTGCAAAAACGTTGTTCGCTCAGCCTGCCCATGGGTGCATCGGAAAAGGTGCACGCACCTCCTCGCCCGCCAAATCCTCCTCGGCTCATCGCAGGTTTGGGCTCTGTTGGTTATGGTCCGAGAAATATGGACCCAAGCCTAGTGTTCAGCTTCGAGCCGGTAAATCCGCGGAATCACGAGCCGAGCGCTTGCAGAGCAGCGTAAAAATGCGAAAGTGAGCGGAGAGAGCGCAGACGACTTTGGTTTCTCACGAGTATGACCCTGCTCTTCGACTCCGGGGTTTCTGGGGCAGCAACGGCATCTTTCATCGTACGGGACAACGACAGCACTGCGCAAGTCCCCTCAGGCGTTCTTCTAGCTGGCAAGCAAGTATGGCAGTCGCTTACTGCTAGTTATGTCCCCTCCGAGGAGCCACCTTCGCGGGTCGCCGTCTCGATCAGTCCGCTGGTAACGACCAGCACCTTCAAGTCTGTGATATACTGGGTAACCCTTGACGAACAGGTAACTGATCGAGAGCCTCAGTGCTATGTTGTGGTATGCTCATCTTGACTAGGTGGCGGAGGTGTCGATCCCAGCTCCCTGGTTGTCCCTCCGACCGGACGTCTTCGGTACCAGGGGTAATCAGCGACGAATAGGATTAAATGTCGTCCAGCCTGTGCCTCTCAAGACGGTTTTTATAGCTGCATTATCCACGAGTGCATACAAGACCGCCCAGGAGGATTCGTCATGGCTCGAGGGCATGTTTTACGCGGATACTCCCATCATTCACCAAGGGACAACGCATCGTGTCCACATCGCAGGCACTGGGGTCCTGGAATACGAAATCGTCATGACGGAACCTGTTATGCAAGGATATGTTTCTGAAGGAGAAACCGAGCTCATCCTTGTCATGAAGATGGCGGACGACCTTGATGCAAACAGTGCGATGACGAATGGTGACCTTGGCTTGGACGACCCAGCAGACGGCAGCTCTGAGGAAGAGGATCTGTCCATAGACGAGCGATTCCTAGCTGGTTCCGTGCTCATGCTGCCTGCAGTTGCTTCATCAAACCATCCAGAGGGCCCCGAGATATTACACGGACAGGTCGCGGGAAGCTCGTCTTCAGTGCAAGCACAGTCGTTCCTTGCGCGTCCTCTACAAGAATCATCTTCGTCTCTTGAGGAGGACTTCACTGTGTATCTAAATATATCGGCCTTGAGCAGAGTGGGGATTCTAGAGGGCGATTGGGTGAGACAACTAGGAATATTGTGTTATCCTACAAGTATCTCATGTTATTCACCGGTGAAATATAGGCAGTAGCTCATGATCGAAAAGGCGAGAATCTCCGGCTCGTTCGTGTGCGATGCTCGGACGATCTGTCGATTTCCGCGTAAACGTTCACCTTCATCTGTCCAGTTTATACGTCGCTCATGCGGTCAACAGCACGGTCGTCAAGGCATCTCCCCTGCTTCTACACAATATTTCCACGCGCAAAACTCCTGCAAGCTCTCAGCAGGTCTTCTTACGACCCAGCCCTTTCGGCAACCACATGCCTCCAATACCAACTGCACGCACGGTCACGATCGCGCGAGTAGCGTCGCCGGCCTCTGTGTCCAAAACGTTACAACCGATCTTTTTCCGCGGTCTGAAGGAGCACTTCGATGGGAAGAAGAGGTTGGTGAAGCAAGGGGACCTCATTGCGATCCCCATTTGTACAGACGCCGCCCAACACGAGCCTTACGTTTCTGGCGCCGAGCCTGACGCTGCCGAGGATGCCAACCGTGCAAAGGACCCGTGAGTCCGGAGTCCTTTGTACAGGCGCGCGAAGCTCATTGGTTATTGTTGGCGATGAGGTTACCCATCGACGCGTCCGTTCCTAACGAGATCGTATACTTCGTCGTCACAAATATTGAAAACGACGTGCCGTCCGGCATACAATTCGAGTCTCCGGATGCGTATCTCGGCGCCACCGTCGGAGAATTCGGCTGTTGGATAGACACCTCAGTAACGCGAATGGTGCAGACTGGCATTGAGCATGTTCGTGTCCCGGATATGTCGGTGTACCTCAGAACAGGTCAGTATCGTGGAAGATATCATCTGATATTCTTAGCTCAACGTCCGCAGCGGCTGGCCCTGCATCAATACTCAATGTCCTGCGTGAAGGTGGAGCGTCTCCTTTGCTAGGCAAGGACAGTGCCTTCAACAAGCTCTCCGCCCTAATATACGCCTCGCTCATCGAGCATGCCGCGCATTTGAACCTACACCTCTCCATCCTGCTCAAAGGTGCGCGAGGGATTGGCAAGTTCACCACCGTAAGCTGGGTAGCACAGACTTACGGAGTGCACTTACTCGAGGTGTGTTTCGCTTGTTTGCGAAGGTGCAGAAAATTTGATTCTTGGTATCAGGTCGATTGCTACCAAATAATCGGAGAGAACGACACTCAAACGGAGGGCACCTTACGGGCACGCTTCGAAAAAGCGGCCATGTGCTCTCCATGCATCCTAGTTCTTCGTCACGTTGATGCACTGGCTCAAACGACTCAGGCTCAAGATGCAGGAAAAGGTCAGAGGTCCCGGTGCCTCCATATGATCGTGTTCTAAAACAAGCCACCAGATCCAACTATAACTGCAGCACTCAATGACTGTATCGATAGCCTCAACGAGACTTGGAAATTAACTGGGTACCCTGTCGTGGTCGTTGGTACCACCAGCAACCCAAACATGGTTGCCACGCATTTGATGTCCTGTTTCAAGCACGAAATTTCTATGGAGGTATCGTAACAGAAATATACATGGCCCGTTTGTCTAACATGAGCATAGGCTCCGGACGAAAGTGAACGATTTGAGATTCTGCGCTCTTGCCTCAGCAACCATGCGGTAGCCCCGGATGTATCGATCAACGAGCTGGCAACACAAACCGCCGCGTTGGTGGCTTCCGACCTCGTCGATCTTGTCAGCAAGGCGAAGTCGAATGCTGTCGATAGGGCTTCCAGAGCATGGTGAACCAATTCAATATTTCAGCGTCACAGCATCGACTGACGCCACCTGTAGTGATAACAAGGTGTCCTTGCGTGACTTAGTGTGCGCAGGATTGATTATTACATCTGCCGATATCGATAATGCATTGGACAAAGCGAGAGCGTCATACTCTGCCAGTATTGGCGCTCCCAAAATCCCCAATGTATCTTGGGACGATGTAGGAGGCCTTGCCCACGTCAAGCGGGAAATCTTGGACACTGTTCAGTTACCACTTGAGCATCCGGAGTTATTTGCGGACGGCGTCAAGAAACGCTCAGGTACGATGTAATCGTCACACCGTATTCTTTGCTAACCTGAATGGTATAGGTGTGCTCCTGTACGGCCCTCCTGGTACGGGAAAGACCCTGCTGGCAAAAGCAGTTGCGACCTCATGTTCCCTCAACTTCTTCTCCGTCAAGGGACCGGAGCTGCTGAACATGTACATCGGCGAGTCAGAGGCGAACGTTAGACGGGTCTTTCAGCGAGCGAGAGATGCGAAGCCCTGCGTGATCTTTTTCGACGAGCTGGACTCCGTAGCGCCCAAACGCGGAAATCATGGTGACTCAGGAGGCGTCATGGACCGTATCGTCAGTCAGCTTCTCGCAGAATTGGACGGCATGTCTGGAGGTAAGCGCGGTGCCGATGTTTTTGTCATCGGCGCCACAAATCGACCAGATTTGCTGGACCCTGCACTACTGCGACCCGGCCGGTGCGTATACCCGTTTCGGTCCCAGACGCTCTCGCAACTCATCAGGACAGTGTAGCTTCGATCGCATGCTCTACCTGGGCGTAAGCGATGATCACCGGGCGCAAGTGAACATCCTTGAAGCGCTTACTCGGAAGTTCCGGCTGCATCCGGATCTGAACCTTGCCACCATTGCGGAGCAATGTCCTTTCAACTATACCGGGGCGGATTTTTACGCGCTTTGCTCAGATGCGATGCTGAAGGCGATGACCCGTAAAGCCGAGGAGTTGGAGGCAAAGATCGGTAAGAATGGCATATAACCCCTCATTTTGCGGTGCTTAGTTGTCGGAGCTCGTATGAATCAGGACGGACCGTTGAAGGGTCACCCATTCCCTATGGTTCCGCAGTACTATCTGGCGGAACTGGCCACCCCCGAAGACATTGACGTACTGGTCTCGGAAGATGACTTCCAGGGCGCCCTGCAAGCTTTAGTCCCCAGCGTCAGCCAATCGGAAATGGACAAGTATCGCGAGATACAACGCCGTTATTCGCAAGTCGATGGGGCAACCACAGCAGTTGACGGCTGATATTTACTACGTTCTACTGCGTGCTGTCGTATAAAATGTCAAACGGAAGTGCTTGGCTTCAAGCTTGTTCATCTACTCGCGCGTCCATGTGCACATGATTTATGATCATAAGACTCGACGATCATGCTTCCGGAACCGGATCCTTGCGAATGACATTCACTGTCTTGCCCTTGTCTTCGAGATGATTTTCGTACAAAACCCAGTGCTCTGCTCCAGACGCGATGCTATTGGCGGTCAACTGACCGTCCGCGCGTGCGGATCTTGGATTGATCAGTACTGGCCTGTCCATGTTCTCGCGCCGACGAACGTGGCCAGCTTTCCTCTAGTGCTGGTGACTTTTTGACATGAGACTGGTTGAAGTTCCCACCGGACGCGTTCTGGCGAAGACACGTCCTGTTCCAGATATATGACAACGCTGAACAGGCGTCTTAGCTTCCCCACCAGCGCAGCGCTGGTGGGAGGCATCGACAACCTTTATAATCCTCGGCGGTTCGCCTGCGCCCGCACATCGCGAGCGCTATGTCCACTCCCGCATTCCCTATGAGCACCAGGCCTCCAAAAACCATTGTTCTGTGCTTTGATGGGACGTCCAACGAGTATGATGGCACGAACACCGATGTCGTCAAGTTCTTCGGTCTCTTAAACAAGGATCTGCCAGACGAGCAAGTATGCTACTATCAAGTAAGTATCCTGATCATGGATCACTGGACCATCCGCTGAACGCCTTACAGGCGGGCATCGGCACGTACTTTGCCCCTGGTGTAGTGAGCCCGGTCTGGCAGTGGTGCGCGAAGATTCTGGATGAGGCGTTTGCGTGGTGCGTATCCACCTGCACAATGTTGCTCTTATCCTCAGTCTAATCGAGGCGCAGGTACCTATACGCTCATGTAACGGATGGATACAAATTTCTCATGCAAAACTACTCGGATGGCGACAGAATATGCTTGTTTGGTTCATTGTCCCTTCCCCTTCCTCCGAGATCCCTGTTGAACCCCCGACTTCGCCAGGCTTTTCGCGTGGAGCCTATACCGCTCGTGGTGAGCATTATACCTGTCGCGTCGAATCTTGAGCTGACTTGGATAACTCAGCCTTGGCCGGGATGCTCCACAAAATTGGCTTGCTCCCCAAGGACAACCTGGAACAGCTATCTTTTGCGTACAAGATATATACGAAGACCGACCAGGCGTCGATGGATCTTGCGGCTGGTTTCAAGCGTACGTTCTGCAGGAACGTACAGGTGAATTTTGTGGGCGTCTGGTGAGGTGGACGAAGCCCACACGTGCCTTGCTTGACTGACGGTAGGCATGACTCAGGGAGACGGTCGCCAGTGTCGGGGTTCTTTGGAATAAGAACTTGCCCTTCACTACCGCCAACACAACCGTCAAGACTTTCAGGCAAGCATTGGCGCTGGATGAGGTACGTTTCGCCTCTGAAACCGCGGCATGGACTGATGCTAGCTACCCAGCACCGTGTCAAATTTCTTCCTTCCTTGTACCCACGACCGTCACCTAATCCGAGCGGGGATCCGCATCAAGCATCGTTCCGCCTTGAAGATGCCCCTCAGGACAAGGTGAAGGTCTCTGCGCGTAAACAAAAACAGAAACATGAAGGTACTTTTCTCACACGGCATCGACTCCTGCGCAATGATTATTAACCTTGCATTTTGATGTCAGAGCCAGCTGAGAGCAGCGAGAAACCAGCTGCAGCTCACAGATGGAGATCGTTCTGGAACCGCAAAGCGGCGATGACTGATGAGGAACGCGGGCTGAAGCCTTGTATACGTGAAATTAATCCAGCAATGGATGCGAGCGCATCCGCACCATCCTCTGCAGGATCAGATACCGGGGCAGATCCTGATCCGGGGAACGGCGATGAAACAGACCCCGCTGCAGATCAACCCGCCAATGTCACGGACGTCCTTCAAGTGTGGTTTTCCGGTTGTCACAGCGGTGCGCCCATGGCGTTGCACATCGCTGTCCGACATGTACTGACCGCTGTGCCCACGATTGCAGATGTAGGGGGAGGTTCAGTTCCAGATACCGCCGATCACTCCTTGGCCAATATCACCCTGCGATGGATGGTTCGACAGGTCCTGCTGGCACAATGCGGTGTGCTGTTCGATAGCGCGGCGCTCGATTTTCTCGATATATCCGACGCCGTTTTCCCTCCGGTTTCGTCGTCCAAAGCCTCCGAAAAGGAGCTCCAACAGGTGTGTTGACCCTTCCTCATGTTGAAAAAGGTCTCTTATAGCTCACCAAACTCGCAAGGATGAGGCGGATGCGTTGGCACCTAATGGGGTTCATGACGAGTTGAAAGCAATTCCAGCTTGGTGGCTTCTCGAGATTATCCCACTCCCTATACGGTATCAGGACAAAGAAGGCGTCTGGAAAAAGAAATGGACGTGCGTAGAACCTTCCCGTGCGATACGGTGCTATATTGAGTGCACTGTGTAGGTTCCACCTAGGCCGGGGCCGCGTCATCAACGACCCTGCGCCGAACTTCCATGTTACGGTAAAGGCGCGAGTGCAGGACACCTCATTGAAGTATACACCACGAGCTAGGTGGGCGAAAGGCACGGAGGTGTATGTCGAGTGAATTGCATTCAGGTTGGCATAATGATACCCATGTTTGCGACTAAGCAATGTCAGGAAAGATCATTTTCATTTTGTTGCACATACAAATCACATCGACAGTTCTCAACGGCTCATCTCCTGCTTGAATCAGCTTGATAATATAGGAAGATTGGGAACGTAGAACTTGTCGCGTCGCGAAGCCTCACGGTAGACATCACCGACCGTTCTTCATTGATGATCATGAGCATTCTGTCGAGGTAGGTAGGTAGGTATATTTCCGGCGCGGTCCCGAGTAGCTCTTCTGGAAGTGGAAAGAACTTTACCACTGCCTCACATATTGTGTTTAGTGCCGTTGAGGGTGCGAGTAGGGGAGGGGCTGCATTAGCGACGGCAGTCACTTTCTCCAGTGCGGCGCAATTCGGGATATCGCTCAATGTGATCATGGTCGGAGATGAGGTTGTCGAAAGAGCGATCTTGTCCAGTGCCCGTGGTATTACTTCCTAACCCAGCTACACAACAAGAGGTGACAAATCTTCCGTAAATGTTGGTCGTGCAGTGCGAGCGTCGGCTGGTGCTGCAACTGAGCGCTGTTCCTTCCAAGTTCCAGCAAATTTGTTGACCTTCGGCTGAGAAAGCATGATGGCGGCTCGCGCTCGCTGCCAGACCTGAGACCAAGGTGAAGCTGTGCCACACGTGATCACGCATTCCCGTGAGCGAGCAAGGTGGCGCAGAGTCCTCCCGCTACCACCCTCGTCGGTGCACGCAGCTGTCTTGTTCGCCATGGTGCGCATCATCATCAAGGGCGGCGTCTGGAAGAACACCGAGGATGAGGTGCTCAAAGCGGCCATTGCCAAGTATGGCAAGAACCAGTGGGCTCGCATCTCCTCTCTCTTGGTCCGCAAGACGCCGAAGCAATGCAAAGCTCGTTGGTACGAGTGGTTAGACCCCTCCATCAAGAAGACGGAATGGTCCAAAGTCAGCTGCTCTTGCTATTAGTCTGCTTCTGCTGGCTCACTCTACCATTTTGTCAGACCGAAGATGAAAAGCTCCTGCATCTTGCGAAGCTTATGCCCACGCAATGGCGAACCATTGCGCCTATCGTGGGACGTACAGCGACCCAATGCTTGGAGCGCTATCAGAAGTTGCTGGACGAGGCGGAAGCGAAGGAGAACGAGGAGCTGGGATTGGCGGGGCCGGGCGATTCGGGGCCTGCTGAGGACGTACGCAAGCTCAGGCCAGGGGAGATAGACCCGGACCCGGAGACGAAGCCGGCTCGTCCGGATCCTATCGACATGGACGAGGATGGTATGTAACGCACGTTTCTGCCAGGAAGCTACGCTGACCGTACTTCTAGAGAAGGAAATGTTGTCCGAGGCTCGTGCTCGTCTGGCCAATACCCAAGGAAAGAAGGCGAAGAGGAAGGCCAGGGAACGTCAACTGGAGGAGGCGAGACGACTCGCTGTTTTACAAAAGAAGCGAGAATTGAAAGCGGCTGGCATCATGTGCGTTCTTATACTCTCTCGCGGATTCTTGCACGAGCCTGAGCATCCTCAGAATGCGTTCAAAGACGAAGAAGAAGGGTATGGATGTACGTGATATCACGCGGAGTTCACTTCAAAACGCCTAACACATCCGTGCAACAGTATAACGCCGATATACCATTCGAGAAGAAGCCCGCGCCCGGATTTTACGACACCTCGGACGAGCAAGCGAGAATCACGTCTGCGCCCATCGGCCAGAGCTTACGTCGTCTCGAGAACAAGCGCAAACCGGAAGACGAGGAGGCGGAAAGGAAAAAACGGCAGCGACGGGATGGGAAAGACGGGGACAAAGCCCCGCATCAGACCAAATTCGTCGCAGCGCGGGACGCGCAGATTCAAAAACTGAAGGAGGCAGAAGAGATCGGTAGGCGACGAAAGCTGGTTTTACCGAGCGCGCAGGTCGGCGAGGCCGAGTTGGAGGACATCGTCAAAATTGGGCAAGCGGGTGAGAGCGCGAAGGCGTTGGTCGCGGGTGGCTTGGATGCTACAGGAAGACTTCTGAGCGATTATGAGGGCCTGGAGCGGGCGAAGATGGCACGGACACCGAGGACTGCTCCTCAACGTACGCTTTCCTATTGTTCATCGGCATTCACAAAGCTGAAGTCTGGTCCGTTTAGACGATAATGTAATGGCTGAAGCGCGAAATCTCAGAAATATGACCATGGCACAGACACCCCTGCTTGGCGACGAGAACACCCCCATTCACGAAGGTCCTGGAGGCGGGACTGGGTTTGACAGTGCCACGCCTCGTCATCAAGTTGCATTCACACCCAATCCTCTTGCAACACCCCGCGACCCCAGCGTTGATCCATCCATGACCCCCCGTACGGACGGCGGCATATCCGCTACTCCTCTACGCACACCCATGCGCGACAGCTTGAGCATCAATCCTGGCGATGGCATGACACCGGCGCACAACGGTGTACCTTCGGACCATCGGCTCAGGGAAAACCCCATCAAACGTGCTCTCAAGGCAGGATTCATGAACTTACCGAAGCCCGAGAACAATTTCGAGCTCCTAGTGCCAGAGGACGAGGAATTGGATGACGCCGCTGCCGGTGGTCCTCAATTGTCCGAGGAGGATGCTGCGGAGCGCGACGCGCGGATTAAACGGAGGCTCGAGGAGGAACGGAGCAAAGAGCTCGCGCGTCGATCTCAGGCTGTTCGACAGGAATTGCCCCGACCGCCAAACGTCGATATCTCGAAGCTAATGGAGGATCTTACTGTGGATGATACAGAAGCGGAGCTTGCACCTGCGTTGCAAATGGTACACGCGGAGATGGCGAGGCTATTGGAACACGATTCCATTGCCCACCCCGTGCCCGGCACATCACGACCGGGCGGCAGTACTTCTCAATACAGCATGCCGCCGGACGAGTATATCGATCTCGCAAAAGCTGCAGTGCAGACCGAGTTAGCTACGGCGCTTGGGTTCCCCGACGCGAAGCTGGATCAGATCCGACAAGGCCTTGCTGCCACCACCAATTGGGATGAAGTACACGAGTCCGAGTCTTGGGCAAATGTTCGACCTCAACTAGTGTTGGACCCTGCTACCAGGCAGTGGGTGGAAAAGGAGAAGCTGCCCCTCGAGCAGCGCATTTCCGGTTACACCTCCTTGCTCGAGGAGAGCCGCGAAACTATGGCGAAGGAAGCCAGCAAGACGACGAAGACGGAGAGAAAGCTTGGCGTCACCCTAGGCGGGTATCAGGCCCGGTCTACGGCGTTGGCGAAGAGGGTCACCGATGCGTTCGAGGAGTTGCAGCGTGTCAAGATTGACTACGAGAGCTTCGCCCGCCTGAAGACGCACGAGGAGATCACGGGGCCTGAACGTGTCACCGCTCTCAAGGAAGAGGTCGAGCGATTAGAGAGGAGGGAGAAGATTTTGCAGGAGAGGTACGCGGAGCTCGAGGCGGACAAGAGAGAGACGGACGCGAGGGTCGCCTCATTGGAGGAGAGGATCATGTTGGAGGCCGAGGCGATGAACGAGGCGGCTCTTGCTGAGATGGAGGCGCAAGGAGGCGCGTAAGTTTGGGGTATGCTGCAGCATGTACTATGTCTCTGTAATGTCACTGGTTACGGACAGTCCTTGTGCTCTATATGATAAGGCCGGAGTGAAACGATATCCTCTGCCAATAATGCATTACCGCAGGGAGTCTATGTATGACTAGAATCCAACACATTAGGCGAGAGTGAGCTTCGCGCGACGGACGGGACATGCCTTTTCGACCTCGGCAACCGAGGCCTTGAACTGCGCTACTTCCCTCCAGCAGTTTAACGGTGTAGTGGGGTTAGAACTGGGAGATATGAATGAGAACCTCAAGAAAATAGTGGCATAACTTACCGGTAACATGATACCACGGCGTCCCCACTCTCCTTTACAGCAGGATATGCGGTCAAGTCTCGCTTCGCATGGAAGCGGTCAACCTTGGATTGAAGTTCGTTCAAGTCACCCATCAACGCCGCACTGCTCTTGACGTTGCCCGCGCTGCCATCCACACTCCCGTCGTTCTCACCGCCAGCCATGTTCCGTTCTCGGTCAAGATTCTCCTTCTCGAGTGCGAGCTCTATCTGCCGCCGTATGTTTTCCTCTTCTTCGCGAAGACGGGTCAGTTCGGATTGTATACGGGACCGTACTTGCTCGTCGAGAGTTGCTTGACGTTCCGGAGGCACGCTTGAGCTTTGCATCTGGTTCGCCAGTTGGTTCACGACCTCTTCGGAGAACTGTTTGTAGTCATTTATTCGGTGCCATGCATGTAGATATATTGAACATACGTGAATTGGGTTATCATTATAGATGACCTTCTCCTGGTCAGGTTGCGACTGGTTTGCGCCCATGGCCGTACCGAGAGAGAGTGTAAGAAACCGGGTGCTGGGGTGATGCGCGCGCCAATGCGAACCACTGCACCTTCACCTCATCCCACGATGGATCCCGAGCCTGAGATCTCCGACACCCTCACCAACCTGGCTGTACCCAAAACCAACGCCACTCTCACTATCCGGATCATCAAATCCTTCGAATTCAGGACGGAGAAGTCATTGATCTTGCACAATGTTAATCTCGAGACCACCACCGTCGGTCAGCTCAAGGACATGGCACGTCAAGGTACTGCGTGAAGTCTCTTGATCGAGAACTTCTTGCACATCCGACATCGCCATACGACAGCGGTGCAGACGCAGCCAGGGTGGAAGCCATATCGGAACGTTGTTTTAGGTATACACCATTCTTCTGATCGTTTATACGCTCTAATCACGAAATAGATACCTTCAAGTTGTATACTAAGGCCCACGGAGCGAAGGTTCGTGGTATGATAATCCCTGTCCGATGAACGTTCTTTTCAATCATAAGCATAGACGACGAACTTGATCATCAACCTCGACCACGATGACTGGATATTGCACGACGACAACCAAATTCTGGCTGACGCAGGTTTCGGTTCGTGATCCTGATTGACAACCAAGAGTCTGGCGCAAGACTGATTGACCCCTCAGAGAATGAGACAGAGATTTCGTTCTTCAACCGCGAGCTATACGAGCAGTTCAAGGCGCACCCAGAGGTCAGTAATGAATTCGTCGAAAAACCGTTGTTTCATGCGCAAAATCTTCAAATGCTCTAGACGAAATGGGATTGATGGCTTTTCGTGGTTCCCGCACGCATGTGTAAGACGAGTCATAAGTGCTATAATGATGCCAATGATGCACATGTACAGTAATGCGATAGCAAGCAGCGTGAGTTATCAGTCTATAAAACGAAAGAAATAGGCATCCATCCGGCTACTGGTTTGCGCACTGCACCCGCGGCTGGCCGTCATCATCCTCTTCCATAGCTTCCTGTTCCATCTGTTCGCGTTGCCGCGGGGTCAGCTCCTCCATGTCTACCTCCTCTAACAATGTGTTCTTCCCGTATTTCTCCATGGGTTTTCGAGGCGGTAGAGCCTGCTCTAGGAACGGAACCGACTCGGGATTGATGTGATCGGGGAATTTGACGGATAGTTTGACGAAGAGATCGCCGGGCTCGTGGTGCCGATGAGAGGGCATGCCCTGACCTCGGATGACCTTCTCGTCGCCTGTTACATACGTACTGAGATCAGATCATATCACTCAGACAGTTTACGCAAGGCTTACCAGGTTTGATAACCTCTCCAGGCACGAGGTTTACAATCAGGACGCGGTCGTCTAAGTGCTTGATAGCGATTTGACCGCCACCAAGAGCAGTGAGCAGGTCCACTTCGACCTCGGTATGAAGATCATCCCCGTTTCGACGGAAGCGCTCATGCGGCTTCTCGTTGATTTCGATAACGATGTCCCCGGAAGCAACACCAGGAGCCTGGTCGCTCTCGCCATGGAAGACGACAGTTTGACCCGCCCGCATACCCTTGTCTATGTGGACTTCTATGATCTTCTTCTCCGAAACCACTTTCTTGCCGTTGCAAACCTTGCACTTGTCCTTGTGGTTGATGATCTCCCCCGTTCCGGAACATTCGTCGCAGGGCGATTGCATCTGCTGGATCATGGGGCCCATTTGACGAAGGGTGACCTTGATACCGCGACCGCTACAGGTGTTGCAAGTCCGCACAGCTCCCTCCTTGCCACCCTTGCCATTACACTTCGAGCAGATGACGCTGCGCGTAAGAGCGAGTTTGGAGGTTTTACCCTTGTACAGATCTTCGAGCGAGACGGTAATGCGGTGGAGGAGGTCCTTAGTCTTGCGCGGTCCTGGTGACCGGCCGCCGCCGAAGAAACCGCCACCACCGCCAAACAGCTGGCTAAAGAGATCCTGACGAGGGGTATGAATATGCCGCTGCGTAGACCAATATCAGGACGAGCGCTTACTTGAGGATCCATGCCGCCCATGCCGCCTCCCTCCTGTAGCCCAGCCTCTCCTCGCGCATCATAGAGTGCTCGTTTCTGCGGGTCGGAGAGAACTTCGTAGCTAAGAGTTGCGATGGGTAAACGCACGAGTACGAAGTAGCGAAGGCAACACGTACGCATGCGTCACCTCTTTGAACAGCTCGGGGTCGCCACCCTTGTCAGGATGTAATCGGAGCGCTCTGATGCATATCAGAAACCGGCCAACGTTGTTGGTGCGATCATGGCTTACTTTTTGCGGTACGCTTTCTTGAGGTCCGCCTCTGATGCGTCCTCTGGAACCTCGAGCAAATCATAGAATTTGCTGCAATCAGTGTATTAAAATCGGTGAAACGCGCGTGAACATCTCAGTCGTACTCACCGTTCTTTCACCATGGTGGATGTCGGGGGGCGGGGAGATTACTGAAGAGAAGGAGCAGTGCGGCCTGCTTCGAGTTTACATCCATCGCCATCCGTCTTTGCTGGAACATTCGAGTACGTCCAGAAAAGGAAATGCCTTGTTCTGCACCGCCCGAATACCGCATACCAGGCCACAGGCTCGGAGCTCGATGTTGGACGCGACGGATGCAACAGCGGCGGCGTCGCTAAAAACTCTGCCGGAAATTCTATCTGCTCTGTCCAACATTGATTCTGAGGAAACCGAACTGTCGACGTCCCTTGCCGGGCTAGTGGCCGCCCAAGAGCCGATTATTGCTGCCGTGTCGCGTCTGCAAGCCCTTACCCCTCATTTGGACGCGCTCAATGGCGAGGCATCGCTGCTCGACGACAGAGTATCCAAGACTGCTGGCACTGCAATGCGCGTCGGCGGACGGGTAAGGCAGCTTGACAAACAGATGCATCGCGTTCAGGAAGCTGCCGAACGGGTTGGCCAAGTAATGGATCTCAAGGTCCTTATAGTCTTCGATTTGGTCTGGAAAGTGCATCTCTCATAAGCAACTAGTCGTCACTAGCAGAATTGCGTTCCTCCATGGAGAGGAAGGATTGGGAGGCGGCGAGCCGGCATTGTGCTCGGGCAATGCATCTCCCACCGGACGTCATTTCCGGCCCGTTTGCAGAGAAGGCTGTCGTGCGTAGCGATGCTTTCCTCTCTCATTCACTCCATTCAAACCTCGCACCCAGCCCTCTTCAGAAGACCCTCGTCCACCAGCGCAGGCGCTCCAAGCCGCGCGCGAGGAGCTTTTAGAGGTCTTTCGCCGCGAGTTCCAAGCGGCGTCTGCATTACGGGATGCCGTGGCGACCAGTCGGTTCTTCAAGCTGTTCCCGACGATAGGGTGGGAGACTGAAGGACTGGACGCCTATGCTGCTTTCGTGGTTGACCTTGTCCGCGTGCGCCCGCCACCGTCTGCGAAGCGTGAGTTGTCCCCCATACGATGCATGACACACCCCCAGACTCACTCTACATATAGCGTCTTCGCCGTTGTACTACACAACAGTGCTGACTGCTCTCTTCGAGAGCATCGCGATCATAATCGACCAGCATCAGCCTGTCGTAGAAAAGTATTACGGTGCTGGCAAGATGACTCTCGTCATCCGCCGACTTCTTGAAGAATGCGACCGAATATCTATCGGCTTACTAGACAACTGGAAGGAGCAACGATCAATCGAACGAAAGGTCAAGCCGCCCGCCCATCACACGGGAAAATATACTGAGGTTGTTCGACTTGATAGCTCGCGGAGACTTCTACGTCTCCCTTTGCTCTGACTTCTCACGGATTGAGAAAGCCTCCGCACCAGGTTGGAGCTGCCATGACTGAAGACGATACTTTGGACGGGCGGGAGATCGATCAAGTCATCACGGAGGTTGCAACTATGGCTGGACGGTGGAGCCTCTTCCGCAAGTTCTTGATCAACCGATTACAGGTTGGCCTTCATGCCTGCGCGCAATCAATTCCCTGAGAGCATCGGACTTTAGGAAGAACTGGAAGAAGACAGCGATAGCACCTCTCAAGACGGCGAACGTGCGAAGCCTTCAAAGTCATCACAGCAGGAGACTTCTAGTTCCGTCGCGTTACAAGCTAGCATCACGGCCCTGGACTCGTCCGCTACCCGTCAAAGCTTCGATAAACTGCTGGAAACTTGCTACATCCCCCTGGAGCTATGGTATATCCGCACCGTCATTGACAAGGTAGGCTCAAGTTCCTTCCGTTGTTGTTTTGCTTAATGGATTAGGCTTTCAGGCTCACCACCTTGCAAAAGCGGATATCACGAGCATGCCGGCGACAACCACTGCACCAGACGATGTCTTTTTTGTTCTGAAGATTGTCATGCAGCGAACTCTGTCCACTGGTTCGCCGCGCAATGTATTGCGTACATGTGAACTTCTGAGAGAAGTCATGGACTATGATTATGCTTCTGTTATTAAACGCAAGTTGGACGACGTTTATCGTACAGCCGTGCCATCTTCGGGATCACGCGGGGAGAAGACCGAACGGGACCTCAAAGCATCTTTTATTGTGAGTTCGCAATACCATCTGTGGTAAGCGATTAGCAAAGAATCACTCACAATCTCATATTCGTAGACCCTGCTGAACGACCTTGATGTTTCATCATCTCATATGGACCGGCTTGTCAGAGACATACTGGGCTCCACCGCCATCGAACAAGGTTTCATTGACCAAGAAGCAGATGATGTCCGCTCGACTATCTCTCAGTTTTCATCGCTGGTACCAAAATTCCGAGCAACGCTCAGAGTATGTCCACTCTTTGTGAGCGAGACACGGACAACTGATACGCTGGTTTCAGGCCGGTGTTGAGCAATTATTCAATCAACTTGTCCGTCCCAAGCTACGAACATTCCTAGCGGATGTCTATAAAGACGTCACCTATGTGTTGGACGAGGAATCGTACGCCGCAGCCGAGTATCAGGAGGTAGTGAAGAAGCGTTTCATCAAGAATCTTGACCTGATCATAACCACATACAAGGTATGAACATATTCCTCCAATATTGCCTACTTTTCACACCTGCTGTCGTCCAGGAAATGTTCACAGAGAATAACTTCGGGGTGTTTTTCGTCCTGTTACTGGATATTCTTATACGGCCATGGGAGAAGCAGATTACGATGTTCCGGTACAACGAGGTGCATGAGTTCAGTTTCGCTGAGTCGACGTGCCTAAATCTGTTCGTTGCAGCTGGGCGCAATCCGCTTGGATCGAGATCTTCGTGCAGTGCTGAGCTGGATGTCCGGCCAGACGGTTTCTGCAGATGTTCGGGAGAAATTCACTCGGCTTCAACAGATTTCGATCTTACTCAATCTGGATAATGTGTGTCCGTTGGTTGAATCAGGGCGTACAACGTACTGATCATTGACTTGCAGGACGAGGACGTTGAAGATTTTTACAACGGCTCCGGTATACAGTGGAAACTGAGCGCTGAAGAAGCACAGGCCATCTCTGCCCTCAAAACATGATGGCCCCGGTAGCCATACAACATGACTCGCATTCCTAGTATAGTGTGGTATCCTACTGTACAATACGTGCGTGCATCCATCTCTCACCTTCGCAGTGCGTCCAAGCGCGCTTGGAGCGCGTCCTCGTCGGACAGGCCGCCTCCTGGTACATCGTTGCGTTGACTGGCAGGTGGTACCGCAGACTCACCCATCGCGACTGCTTGTCTCCGCTCGGTGAGAGGCGATGCTACGGCGCCGACCCCGGTAGGCGCATCCGTGAGCTGAGTGCGCGTGAGAGGCGACGTATCGCGAAAGTCTGTGATGGACAACCCACCTGCTGAGACAAATCAACACCGATCTCATCCAACACCTCCTTGAGGATCTTATCGCCTTCTTCTTCTTCATCCTCCAGATCGTCTTCCATAACATCGTCCACGGCGTCCGACATCATCTCTTCCTTCATATCCATCATTGAACTTTCCTTCTCAAATTCGTTCATGATCTTCTGAATTTGCGGTAGATTCAATCCGCGATTCATGGATGCCATTGCCTAAGTTTGATGTGAGCAGAGCGTATCGTATGACATGAGCTATATACATGCCCTGGTGGCACCTCGCATTGCTTCAGCCATCTGCTGGTTGCTTCGCAAGGTTTGGATACGAAGGCCGACTGCTTGTAGCTGAGTGCGCATCTGATAGAACTTCTGCACATAACGCCTGGTGCGGACAAGATCCTTGGCCATGATCTTGCAAGCATTCTATACGAGGATGAATTGCTGATCCTCAATTCCCCAGGGGGGACGCACCAACTGTCCGGACTTTGCGCTCTTTTTGATATCCGCAACCAGCTTCTTCTCCTGCTGCTCTAGCTTCATGCGTTCTCGATCGAGTTCCCGCTGCGCCTTGGCCAATGCCCGCTGATGTTGCCGCAGGCGTTCAGCCGGCGTTACGGTCCTTCCGAAAAGAGTTTCCTAGACATGCAGCTTGTATACGAATGTATATGGAGCGACGGCGAAGCAACTCACGATGATGTTCATGGCGAAGTCGCGGCTCTTGGAGCACAGCTTCTCGTTCACGCCGTTACCGCGAATCCGCGATGGACTTGCCCGAGATTGGAGTACACTGCGCCCTGTTCAGTTGCAATCACCTCGATTTCCTGCCAGTAGAATGCCCACATTGTCACTTGAAGGTGAGTCTTCTTTGATGATCGATGATTGGTGTGACCACTCTCCTCCAGTTCTGCAAGCAGCACTATCCTCGGGATGCCCACGAATGCTCTGTGACCGTTGTCCGAGACCAAACCGGTGCCTCGGGTAATGCTCATCCACGATCTACTACTCCGCGATGTGCTGTTTCGCAATGCACCCGGACTGCCATGTCTTCCAACAACACGCAGACCATCGTGAATGCTGGCGTCTGTAGCTCTTGTAGGAGGTCGTTCTGTCTCGCGTACGCACTCGTCTTTTCTGTGCCCCAATTTAAGTGGCTCATATTATTTGCCAGTCACCGACATGCTGCTGATCATGGCTGCCAATCGATCCAGCCTGTCCATAACCCCAAGAACGCGGCAGCCCGGGCCCTGCTTGCGAAACACTTTCCTGGAGCGGGATCGAACATGACTCCTTCAGGCCGAAACCGGCCACTCCAACCTTGTGGTGCAAGGGCATCTGCACAGTCGACTCGCAATATAGGGCGAATGAAGAAGCGCCATGCTGCGGTTCCGGCCAACGCTGAAGATGTCTCCTGTCCTGTAGAATCCCGACTGCACCTGACGGTTCGGTTCGAGGGTGTTGATATTCACAAATATCTATGGATACGAGGGGTACGCACGGACCGACATCAGAGACCACCTTACTGATCCCTACGCAGTCTGTGAGTATCGGAAGGGCGACCGATTTGTTCGCGGCACATCATCCGACAAGTAGTGCAAGATATGAGGTCAGAGGGCCATCCTATGAAGATGTTTCATTCTCATTATATTATTGCAGTCCTTTCGGCTCGTTAGGTATACCACATGTACAGATGAAACGTTGTCATCAGCCTTGCCCACCGACGAAACCATCGCTGCGTATTTGGATGACGGGGATGAAGTCGTCCTCAAGTCCCGTGAACCGTAGATCTCAATCTCTACCTCTGCAGACACGTTGACACACTACCGCATTGTGCATATACATATATGGGATTCCACAAGGTTCGGAGCCTTCCGTTACAGCCGTTTTCAAAAATCATGAGCGCGGCACCAGAAACGAGACGCGCGTCGTGAACGACCCTAAAGTGGGGTCACCGCCAGATCAGGCATCTCGACGGGATCGTATCGCTGTTGTTGTCTGAGGAGTGCCCGAGCATAAGAGCCAAAGGTTAGCCCGATTTTGAGCTCGAGATACGATGTGCAATGTTTCTGGGGGTTTCTGGTTCCCTCAACTTGATGCTCCCGGTGGATTGTCTTTCACCCATTCTGTCAACTTCCACTCGCCTATGGGATCTTCTCGATAGCGGGCTACACCTTGATTTGGAGCAGTACACTTGTACAATGGTTGCCCCCTGGCAGTAACCCTAATATAAGGGTCTTACCCAATGCTCCCCAATGACGAGTTGACGATGAGTTCCCAAACATATCGTTGTCGAAAACATCGGTAGACTCCTGGGACACATATTTGATCATACAGAGGCAGGACTGTGTCCAGATTTGCTGGACGTAGCATCCATAATCATGGTTTACATTCGCTGACGCTATCCTTGCCTGCTACTGGGAAATTGCTCGTTATTTCCTTTGAATATCATGTTTACCACTCCTCAGAATCATCCTCTGAGCTCCTCACGCGTATTTTGATCATTTCCATGCTATCCTAGGGCGCATCATCGTAGAGTTCGTCGTCGAACTGGCGGCAAACCCAGCTTTGGGGTCATTCACGACGCGCATCTCGTTTCTGGTGCCGCGCTCATGATTTTTGAAAACGGCTGTACATTCCGAATCCGCGTCAATGGTGGATGCATTATACAGTGGCGTGAAAAGCCGTTGAGATAGCACATGGTCATGAGAAAGAACTATTCCGAATGCGGTCCAGGTATACATAAAAACCGTGCGATACGTAAATGCAGATATAATAGCCGGCTATGCCACGAGAGCGGCTAATCTTCGAAGGTGAGATACGTTCAGGTAGGCTGGAACGTATGTCTCTAAGCCTGAAACTTCTCGGGGTAGAGGAAGTTCGTATGGCCCAACTTCCTCCGATTCGGGAGCCAGCAGTAAATGGTCGTTGCGATCATTAGTATTCACTCTTGAAGCAACGACTCGAAGGATCTCGGGCGAGATGGGGGTCTGCGAGAACGTCAGCCTGGCAGATGGCTACGTGCGGGAATCTCACCTCGTAATCAGCAACGTAGTAGTTTGTGCACATGCGCTGTATCTGCATGGGACTGAGCATCCAGCATACGTCATATATGATCTCGATATCCGCCGTTGTGGCCTGCCTGGTGTTAGCTTCACGTTCGTACGTATACAGTATTAAAACGCACCTTCTTCAATTGAAGCAGCTTAGTGGCCTGCATCAAATGCTCCAATTGCAGTGTACCCTCGGGCATATCATGTGATTTGCACCATTCTTCGATACGGGTGATGTTGTACTGTATTTGCATAGCTGTGGAACAGTATTAGTCTTCAGGTCGTCAATTTGCGCTTGTAGCAGTTCCGACCCACCTCGCTTCCACGACGAGAAATTGCGCCTCATCAGCAAGTCATTAAAGCTCGTGACGCCAATCAACTTCAGCAATTCGGTGATAACCTGTTGTACGACGGATTCTTCCATGCAGTAACTCTTCAAACTCTTCCAAACCTTGTTCAGAAGGTTGAGTATATCATCCATACTAAACGCTGGCTGCGAGTTCGTATTCAGGAGCCGATTCAGTAGCCGTCCTCCGCCGTCAGAAGTTGTGAAGCCGGGTAGTGACTGGCTTTCGATGAGGGCCGGGATTACCATCTTGTTTAGTCGCTTCTTTGTCTCCATCATCCACGTGTGGTAGATGTTGTACTCGAGGCTGTCGAGATCATGCTTCACCACAGTGACGAGACGTTCGTAGTCACTCCAATCAAATGGACGCCCAGCAGTCTCCTCGCCCGGACCTATGCCCTGTAACATGTCGCTCTCGGCAACGCAGATGAAAGATAGCATTTCGTGAACGTTGGACAGCCAAAAAATCCCAGGAATGATCGCATCTTCGCCGGTAAAAGACTGGGCATTGCGTGGGTAGCGTGCATGCGGGTGAAGAAAGGGCTTACCATGACATGAGACTGGATAGTCTGCATGACGCTAGCCAAGAACCGTTCGCTCTCGGGTATGAGCCCGTATTTCCACATCTCATTGGTGACCAAGCTGATGAGATTCGCGGGGAACAGTATCTCCTTGATCGGAGTGGCGGTGGTGAGACTCGGAGCTGGAATTTTGAGGCCGCGAATGAGACCATCAAGGACGTCCGCGTCTAATCGCACCGCGTCCGTCAGGAGGCGAATCTTCTCCTCCGCAGGATCGTCCGATATATCCGAGAGGCCGCTTGGAGCTCGGAATCGAGCCAGACCATTCTCGGCGCCGTTGTATGCGACGGAGACGGCGCGAGGATTCATGCTTTGATTCCGTTTGACGGATATCATGAGTTCGTCGACAGAAGCGCGATGATCACTAGACGCCATGGAGAATACGCCTGCGGAACTGTGCCTGCGCTGATGGCCCTTCAGTTCATTAACGGTGTTGTCGCCATTTGTGGCACCAGCGGCGGCAGGGAGTTCCCCGAGCCGGAGGACGGGGGCAAAGGTTGGGGAAGTAGGCTCTGGCCGGCTGCCTCTCGTAAGAACGTTGAGAGCGTTGGCGCGATTCAGTTGTTCGCGTAGGCTACTGACTTCGTTTTTCAAGGTCATGATGATAGAGCCATCTTCAGTATTTCGGATCGGTTTGGCATCGATGGCTTTTTGCTGCTCCTCCAGCTGCGCGGACTGGCGGGCAAGGGTGTCGGACATCTGTTGGAAAGCGGCCTCCCGTTGTGTCGCCTTGTTGAGGGCGTCTTCCAGGCGTTTCTCCAAGTCCGCCTTGACCTTAATGAGCTCCTGACCACGCGATACCTCCGCATGAGCAGACACCAGGTCGGACTGAAGCTGCTTGTTTCGTGCATCAGCCTCCTCGAATTTGGCAGTCCATTGTTGCAATTGCTGTTCCAGCTCCGCCAAGCGCAACTGTAGCTCCTTTTTCTCCTGAGTCCGAGATTGCAGCGTTTGTGTGAGTTCGACCACCTTGTTCTCGAGTCGGTAGGATATCTCCTTGAACTTGGAAACAGAACGAGCTTCTGCCTTGAGCGCTTTCAACTCTTTTCGAGCCAAGCGGCGACGAATGCAAGATTGCATCCACACAACATGGCGAACATCGGCACGATAACATTTGCGTGAGCGCCTGCACAGCGGAGAACCTTCAACATCATTCCATATTGAAGCGGAGGGCTACTTACATCCCACGAAGCAAGCTTTGGAGAAGCGTTGCTGCATTCGAGCGTCTAGTATGCATCAGCCGCCGTCGAGTCTGCCTTCCGCGTGCAACTGGAGGACCAGATTAATGGAACGTTGGTGCTAAGCGCATAGAAGGACTCACGGCTCTGGAACATGACCACCGAATTCCTGATATCCGCAAATACCTTCATCTGAACAAACCGGCGAATTGCAGTTTGTAAACGGATAGCAGCCGTTTGTTGCCTGACGCGGTGAACAAATCGCTTGGCCATATTCATGCGCCACCAAGTCTGTATCCTGATAGCGGCTCGGCGCATCCGCTGATAGCTGGTCATCGCTAGCTTCCTGCGCACGTTCTTCTGCACCACTGTGACCAATGCATTGAGGCGATCAGCTCGTAGTGATTCGAGCGCAGCGAGCATGCCCGCCCGGAAGAATATTTTTGTCAACCCGCTCTGATACTTGTCCGGATCGGCGATGGTTTTCTCTAGAATCGTAGAGCACAGGCTCTTCAACTCGAGATTCTGGATTTTCGGGGCCCATTCTGAAGAGGGTACAAGCATGTAGTACCTATGGTTCTTGTCAAGATTTTCTTCCGACGAAAGAAATCGAGAAACTTACCGCTCAACGAATTCCTCGTACGTCCAGCGAGTCGGGTAACCAGCACAACTAATCCGGATGGTTTCCAGGACGCCGCAGGCTCGCAGTTGACCGAGCACTTGCTGAGGTTGGAATTCCCATGCCTTTTTCGCCTCATTTGGTTTTATGCACCGGATGTAATGGACGTTGGTAACGTGAAGCGTCTCCATGAGGTTGTTCAAAGACGCCTTGAATATCGATCCCAGTGTTGGCTTCCTGGAAACAGCACCGGGGCGTTTGGGGCCGGATGTGGGACCAGACGAGACCAGAGATGGACGACCAGGATCTGGAATTACGGATGCTCGTCGAGAACCCCCACTTCCCGAATCGGAAGGGGCTGGAGATCCAGGAGTCCGAGGGCTATCAAGTGGCTTAGACTGATCAAGAGCAGCATCCAGTACTTCCTTGAGGAACGAGTTCTTGGTAGAGGCAAGCAGCGTCATATGTTCGTCCGGAACGGTGTCGCGATTCTTCTCGAGGAAACCTTCTACTTCATACGTGACGTCAAGCGCATAATGTGCTATAGTAAAGGCCGAGTTTCCGAACCGCGGTTTCTTGAAGACATTCTTGTATTCGGGTTTGTTCAGCTGCGTATTAAGCTTTTGTAAGAACGAGGAATCGCTGCCCGATGGTAGCCGAGACTCCTCGTCCAGAAGAGCCAGTACTCCCAGTTTCCCTTCTATGACATCGATGCAAGGCTGATTGTCCGAGAAATCAATGAAGGTCCAGTTTATCTGTTCGCGCACGTATTCGTCTTGTTCCAGTTTGAATACATGCGCATAAAACTATAGCGAAACAGATGAATTTCGGAACGCTCGGAGCACGGAATAACGAACCTCTTGTTGCAGCTTCTCGTTGGCGTAGTTAATGCTGAACTGCTCGAACGAATTCTGCGAAGGGATGAAAACAGGATCCGCCAAGCTCATTGAATCCTCACCTTTTGGAAGTGCTCGAACCCGTAGATATCGAGGACGCCAATGAACATCTCCGCTCGCTGAGTTGCTTCTCCACCTTCGCCAGCTAAGCTCTCGTTGACAATGGCAACCAGCCATTCAAACAAGCATGCATATACGAACTTCGCCACGGAATCGCGTACGACGGTAGCCTGGGCTGCATTCAATGATGTGACGATTTTCTCCGAACGAGTGGTAATCTGCTTCTTGATGGTCCACTTTTTGAACTCGGCTAGTGTGATACCGAGGAATCGAGTCGAGAGCTGAAGAGCCGGATCCGTATCCTCGACTATCGCGTCGTTCCGCATCTGTGTAATGGCCACGTTTCCCAGATGGAGTAACGCAGCCAGTAGCTTAAAGACTGCCCATTGTTTCTCCACACTGATCCCAACGGTGGAGAGCGCTTGTTGCGTAGCACGGAATTCCTCTGCATCATCAACGCCAACGATAGGCGTCGACATTGGCCCTCCCTGCTTCAAGTAGTGGAACTTGGTAATATCGGTATCCAGACCAAGGTCCTTGCGCTCCTTGATCGGCGCACCAGCGCAGAGCTGATAGAAGATGTGGTAATTGCGCTCTGTGAGGGGTTGATAAACCAGCCTCGATCGCTCCAGAAGGTACGTCCGTATTCTGGCTCCTACAATTTCTTGTCTGCCGTCGAAAAGGATCTGTATATGGACTACTGATGAGACAGACGTTCTCCGTGACTGGAGCGGCAGCTGCTCTGACCTGGATGTATTTACCAAAACGGGAAGAGTTGTCATTCCGCGTCGTCTTGGCGTTACCGAACGCCTCGAGAATCGGATTGGTAGCAAGAATTTGGCGTTCCACTTCGCTGGCCTCGTCCAAGGACAGTTTTGTTCTGCCCTTCGCTCCCGAATCAGGTGGATTGACGGATGCGAGATATCGCATGATGAGCTTGGCCTGCAACCTGATGATGAATGGCTTTCATTGATCCTTTCGGTGAGGTCACGTACTGATTCCGTCTTCCCAGCACCACTGCAACAGGTTCAATACTCGAAGTCGGAGTAACAAGGTAAACACACCTTTCACCAGAGACGATGATGGTCTGTCCGGTTCCATCTTTCCTCATTGCTGTATAGGCGTCCTCGGCTATGGCGAACAGGTGAGGCTCTAATTCACCACGACGTCGTCCGCTATAGGCCTGTATGATTTCTGGTCCATACATGGTTACCCGCTGGAATGGGTTCATAGCGATAAGAACTATTCCCGAGTAAGTGTATATGCTATGTTGCGCATAGCGGTTCCGTATGGTATGTAGAACTGCCATACCGATCAGGCACTTTTCGTGTGTTGTTAAACAAGACCCACCTGACGGCTCATTGAGATGAGAGAGTGTGGCAAGGTCGTCGGCGGTCTCGAGGAGAGGAGGGTTGCGTAATGGAGGGAGTCCTTCTTTGTTGGCCTTGATATCCTTCACAGTCGTATCAACCACGGTCTCCTGTCAAGCAGACTTATTCAGAATGGCAACTAAGCCTGTATAGCATCAAGCTCACCTTGCCTCGTTCATCAACGAATACAAGCTTGACAGTATCGTCTGCAGCACGGCTAACCGACGTAACCTCCGCGGAAATCCAGGCTTGTTCCTTGTCCACAAACCAGACACGTGTCCCTTTCGAGTACACGTTTTCTGCCATGGCGGGCCTGTGTCCGTTGAGTTTCGGCCCTCTAGCGTTCAAACCAGGAACCAATTCCGAGGCACCACAGGACAAACACGAGCAGTCGGCAAGAAGATACCAGTAGACACTAACACTGACAGCAACGAAGGCGCGGTAGTACATCACGTGACGGCCGGCCCTAGATTGGTGTAGCAAGGGTCCTACAATATTTTGAACCAACGAAGTATTGTAAGTTCTCCATTCTGGAAAACTTTACTGACTGTTCTTGACAGGGATCTACCGGTGTTGAATTGGCGCTCTACAGCCACCGATTCACAGGCGCTGGAGGGGCAGCTTTCACAGGTTATGAGCCCTGGGCTCGCTGGGGCCTGCGTCGATGACGGTAGCATTCTGCACCGCGTCCGCAATGCATTGAGACGGTTGCACTCTGCACCGACTCTGCACCCTGGGCGCCCTGCTCGCCTGAAGCGTTGCCTTTAATGGCTCGACGCTGTGGTGGACAGCGCGTAACGCCTCTCGGCGACGCGTAGCACGGCCCAAGGCTGTTGCTCCACTGGTGATCTGCAGCGCTGTCATGCGCTGGTCGTTTAGTTGATTCATTACGCTGACGACTGTTTCTTTCAACCAGATCTTACCAACTCTATCAAACACTCTACTCTACTATGTCGTCTGCTCTGTACCAGATCGCTGAGCTCACCGGTGCTAACTACCAGCACTGGGCCTCCGACATGCAGAACTACCTCATGGCGCACTCGCACTGGACTGCGATCGTCAATCCTCGTCCTGCTCTCTCTGCGACCCCCAACGCTCAGGAGCTCAACGACGAGAAGGCCTGGGTCGACCACGACATGCAGGCTATGGGCTGCATTAATTTGCGCCTCTCTATGTCTATTCGCTCCAACACGTCGGACCTCACGACCGCCGCCGCCATCTGGCAGAGGCTGAAGAAGGACTACGGTTCTCTCGCTCTAGGCAACGTCTACCACGAGTTCTCTGCTCTACTGGCAACGAACATCCCTGGCAACTCGCACCCTGCTCCCACGCTCAACAAGATGCAAGCGCACTGGGACCGCCTCAAGGAGGTCAAGGTTGTCTCGACCTCTGCACTCGCTACAGCACGCTCCCATACCGCTACTGCCAGCATCTCTGCTGCGGGCTCTACTGCGATCCCTGCCACTGAGCCGCTCCCTGAGTGGCTCCTCGCCATGTTCATCATCGCCAAGCTCCCGCCGCAGATGTCGTTCATCAGCCATCTGCAGCAGCAGAAGCAGCCTACCGAACTCGACGTCGACGACATCCGTCGTCAAGTCATCCTCGCCTACGATCAGAGGCAGCTCCACGCCTCGTCGAGCAAGAAGCCAAACGATACCGCCAACAAGCTCAGCGCTGTCAAGCGCAAGCAAGGCAACCAGTCTTTCTCTCAGCAGCAGCGCCCTAACGGGCAGCAGCAACAGCAGCGGTCCTCGCAGTTGCAGCAGCGCCCTCAGGGGCAGCAGCAGCACTTGGACAAGCGCCGTCGGGGTCGCTCTGGCCGTGGCAAGGGCAAGGACAAAGGCAAGGGAAAGGCGTACGTCGCCAACTGTGACCACGATGTCACTATGGCGTCTGTGGCAGTCGCCGCTGACGAACCTAAGCCGGCTCCACGCCGTGCTCCCTCTCCGTACGTCGCCGATCGTCGTATGTTCAAACCGGTTGTGAAGGTGACTGAACCCTCCACCATTTACCCTAGTGTGAATGGCGCGCTGAAGCTTGCTCGCGACTTAGGGATCAGGCCCACGCCCGAACAACTACGGGTCCTCGAGGCCACCGTCGAGCAACGTCGGATCCAGACCCTTAACGAGGAGCGCGACGCCCTCCGCGCCGCCACGCTCAACCACTTACTCAAGTGACCTGAAGAGGACACCTTCGAGAACCACCTCGAGCGTAAGCGCCGGATCGAGGCCGTCAACCGCCTCAAAGGGACGTGGCACTACGCCTACTGCGAAGCCGAACCCCCATGCCGGACGCAGGCAGACCACAATTTCTGTCCTGCCATTGAACCATTCTGCACCGCGGAGACGCCCTGCCGCACCTTCGACGAGCACAAGAAGTGTCCGGCCCTCGGTCTCTCTTCCGTCCCAGCGACAACAAGACCAGCAGGCGCGACAGGAGCAAGCCGAAGCCCCTCACCCGGTACCGGCTCGGATCCTTCGCTTCGAGGAGTTCCCCCCACTCCGCCATTCCGCGGAACGAGCGACTCGAGCGATGAGGAATGCGGAGCAATTAGCTCGGATTTCCGCCTGGCAAACATCTCGCCGACCCTCGACTCCGACGAGGAGGCCCTCCGCGCCTTCAAGCGCATCCGCCTCTCTCCCTCCTCTGACGGAGGATCATCTAACTCCTCTTGGACGTCCGGCCGGCCCAACCTTATGGACCGGATTTCGCCGCGCCCCACCGGCACCTCGTCAACACCGCTCGCCGAGCGAATCTCCTCGCGAGCACCGACGCCCGAGTACGTCCCTCCCGACGCCTCCGATGACGAGTGCGACGACTTCGTCAGCATTGGGTCGCGGAGTGAATCACCTCTGGGAGATGATCCAGGACATGCTGGACCGTCCAGATGGTCAGGCATGATCGTCGATGACGATGAGGATGTTGGGTACGTCCCTTCCTATCCCTCTACACTAAACATCGCTAACTTATCTGCTGCGTCCTCGTGCGATAATATAGCCGCATGTAATATACTTTGCGATGATGTATTATGTAGTAATAACGATTGTGTGCATTCGCTCTCATACTCTGCGTGCGCCGATTGTAAGGGAAAAGGAACACCAAGCCAAGTCTTTTGGATGTGTGACTCTGGAGCATCGTATCATTTCACAAATGATATCAACGACTTCATTGAGTATAAGCCATTCGATGCGCCGGTAAAGCTATCGACGGCAAATAACCACACCAACATGATTGGCGAAGGGACTGTAATCCTGAAAACCAAGAAGGATACCGTACAGATTGCCGGAGTAAAGCTTGTGCCTGACATTAATATGCGGCTGCTTTCTCTTGGCCAGTTTCTGCAGAACGACATGACTGCACTCTGCGACTCAGAGGCAGTAAGAGTGTTAACTGAACAAGGAGAACCGTTTTTAACGTTTACTCCTCGTGTATCGGGTGATACCATCTATGGTGTCCAGACCCTCCCCGACAAAGAAATGGAGGTTGTCGACATGGTCTATGCTCTGGATTACCAGACATGGCACCGTCGTTTTGCTCATCCTTCAAAGGATGTGCTTCGACATGCTCGGAAACACGTCTCCGGGTTTACACCCGTTGAGATACCCACCGAGGAACATATATGCCGAGGTTGCGCGCAAGGCAAGATGCCTTTGCGACCCTTTCCTACTCACCCTGTTCGCGCTGAAAAAGTGTTTGAACTTATCCACTCTGACATCAAGTCATTCCCAATCGAGTCGTATCACAAGCATAAATATGTGATAACGTTCTTGGATGACTACACTTCTTTTGCTTGGATAGTTTGCCTACGCACTAAAGATGCGGCACTACCAGCAATTAAACACTTCATGGCAATGGTCAAGAACCAGTTCAGTTCAACCGTTGAGAAGTGGATGTCGGATGCAGGGGGAGAGTATAAGTCCAACGCCTTGGACGACTACTTTAAAAGTAACGGCATTAAAGTTCTTCAGAGCGCACCTCACACGCCACAGCAGAATGGTCGTGCTGAGAGGTATATGCGCACCTTCATGGATAAGGCCGAGTCAATGTGATTTGACGCTTGCTTGCCTGAATCCTGGTGGAATTTCGCTGTCGAGCATGCAACACATGTATACAACAGAACTCCGGTTGTGCGCCTTAACTGGAAGACGCCGTATGAGTTTCTGTATGGTAGACCACCGCGAGTTGACCACTTGCGAGTGTTTGGATGTGGTGCATATGTTCACCTCCCCGCCGATGTTCGAAAGAACAAAATGTCGCCTAAGTCTGAACTTATGATATACATCGGCGTTGCGGATGGTATGGAAACGAACTTCAAGTTCATGCGCCTACCCAACAATGTGATATTCACATCTGCCCATGCGTTGTTTGATGAGACACTGTTTCCTAAGTGTGCGAAGCAAAAGCAAACGAAAAACACGCGTATTGGAGGTCCGCGATCCAAAGACACCAACCACCCATCGGGTCAACCACCCGTTCCTTGGGACGACGATGATGAAATTCCGTCGGCTCCTGTTCCCACTATAACTCCTGAAAAGGGGAAAGGCAAGGCGCCAGACGTGGCACCTGAGCTTCCTTCGACGCCCAAAAGAGAGCGGTCGAGGACTCCTAGCCCAGTACCGCCTGAACAACCATGGCAATCTCCAAGGAGATCCGGTCGTCTCAGGAAAGTACCGAAGCGAGAGGGCAATATATACGGGGAAAGGAAACATCCTGTTTCCCAATATAAGCAGATTGAGCGTGAACGTGCCTGGAAAGACTTGGTAGAGGGAGGATCCTCACCAGGCAAAGGCAAAGCGTCACGCAAGGTCTCTCGGAAGCAAATGATAGAGAGCGAATTATCGCCTCCACCAGAGGACAAACCGGCTCCTGTGCCTAGCTTGCCACCTCAGACCCCGAGAAAAAGCGACGACCCGTCTGCACCGGAAACACCGTTTACTGGCTATTGCGAAAGCGCCAGTAAAGCCCCATCCTCGGAATCTGATTCTGAAGGAGATGCTCGGTTAGCAAAACTATGCCAGGAGGGGGGAGTACAGTTCGTCGAAGCGTTGCTTTTGCACGCATATCCACTATTCGGCGGAAATCCCAACCAGTCCAATGTAAAAGAATGGACATATCGCGATATTCAGCGGCTTAAACCTGCTGAACAAAAGGAATGGCGTGCTGCATGCCGTGATGAGCTTGAAGCTCTCCGGAAGCGCAAGGTCTATGACCTGGTTGATCGCCCGCGAGACCGAAAGGTCATTAAAAACCGATGGGTCTTTGACATCAAATCTGATGGTCGGAAAAAGGCCAGGCTTGTAGCCAAAGGTTTCTCCCAGGTTGAAGGAATCGACTTCAATGAAGTCTTCTCGCCTGTAGTTCGTTTTGAGACAGTGCGAATGATGTTTGCACTATGCGCACTTGAAAACTGGCAAATTCATGCCGTTGATGTGCGAAATGCCTATTTATATGGCAATCTCGACGAAGAAATATATATGGAGCAACCCGAAGGCTTTAAAGAGCCAGGGCGCGAAAACATGGTTTTCCAGCTTCGCCGCGCGCTCTACGGACTTAAACAGGCAGGGTTAGCTTGGTGGAAAGCCCTTGACCGGTCCATGGCCGACCTAGGCTTTAAACGCCTGGTGTCAGATGCTGGTATATTCGTCTACAACAAAGATGGCAATTTCTGCATTGCCGTAGTCTACGTTGACGATGCCTTCTTTATGGGGCCCAAGAACTCTCCTACCGTCCTAAGGCTCAAACGAGCCTTCATGGATAAGTGGGAGTGTAGAGAACTCGACGGCAAAGAGTTCTTGCGCATGCGTATCACTTGGAAAGGCAACTGTGTCCATCTTGACCAGCGAGCCTACCTAGATAAAATACTGCAGCGCTTTGGTATGGAGAATGCGCGAATCGCACCCACGCCGTTGCCAACTGGCTATTTACCTAAAACCAATGAAGCACCTGTTGATCCGGTTCTTAGGAACCGTTTCCAGACCGTCATCGGATCGTTGCTTTATCTTATGATTGGCACTCGACCAGACATCGCCTTTGCAGTGACCGCTCTTGCGCGACACTCGGCCAATCCCTCTGAGGATCATCTCGCCAAAGCCTTATACATTTGCCGCTACTTAGTCGGCACCAAGGATTATTCCTTGAAGTATGATGGCGGCTCGGGACTAGGCTTTTTGGCATGTACTGACTCCGATTGGGCTTCAGACCCTAATTCGAGACGGTCGATCACAGGATACTTCATAAAATTGGCTAATGGAATAGTCTCCTGGACTTCACGAGCACAGAAAACTGTTGCACTGTCGTCTACAGAAGCCGAGTATATGGCACTCTCTGATTGCAGTTGCCAAATGCTCTGGATACGAGCTTTGTTCATGGAGCTCGGGTATAGGTTTAACCGATTACCCATCTGCGGTGATAACCAAGGATCGATATTCATCGCATCCAATGCGGTTACTGAGCGCCGCTCCAAACATATTGATGTGCTATACCACTTCATTCGAGAACACGTCAATAAGGAGCTTGAGCTGTTCTACATTGAAGGTTCTGAGAACCCCGCAGACATGTTCACCAAGAACTTAGGGCATGAAAAGTTCCTCAAGTTCAGGTCACAACTGGGCCTAGTGTTCGGTTGAAACTATTGTCCTCCCTGTGGCTGCATTTTTTGCGCCATATCCGCTTACGTGCCTACCGTTGCACTTAGCGAGGGGGAGTGTTGAATTGGCGCTCTACAGCCACCGATTCACAGGCGCTGGCACAGCCCGCCTTGACTGCCGTCCTCGGCACAGCTGTATCTATTTCTGACACAATAGGCTGTGCGTTGCTACGTTCCACAGCCTTCTTTATTGTTCTATAGCTTAGCATGTGATTGCACCGCATAGCCACTCTCTGTAGTATATATACAGGACTGTCTGAGCGTTGCAATACAAGTCGCTTTACTTCTGTCCTCCACAGACTGAGACTTACCCAGACTCAACCAGGTGAGCTTGACGTCGCCCGCCACTGTGTGCGGCAGCGCAGCTTTCACAACCGGCTTGTAAACCCGGTACTGCCGTCAAAGATACCGTAGTTTTATGACCTTAGGCACCTTGGTCACCCCCTAGACATGGGTATATTATGTGTAACTCTATCAGCAACGTGTTTGACATTATATAGCCTGTTGTGCTTGGTCGAGCCAATATGTCGCCGCGCACTTGGGAGCACCGCGATCCCAGCAGCATGTGAGAGGCCGGTGCTACCATATTGCACCTCCCATCACAATAAAATACGGCTGGATTGGCGTTTTGTGCTACTTCGTCCTCGTAAAGTGGCCGCCCACCCTCATGTATGCGGTACCCATGATGCAGAGCCTACATACGGATTCTGGGATGCACCGGCAGCGGTCCCGTCATTAGTCGCGGCCCCAGGCACCCTACCTGGCCTCCGCCGTATTACCCTCTTTGCTCGGTTGCCCTCACATTTGAGCGGTATCCCCCGCCTCCAGTACCATCGAAACGTCTCATCGTTGATACCGGCCTAGGAGAGGAACGTCGGAATCG